GGATCAAAAACTGGCTAATTAATAGAAAACAGAGAGTGAGTATAAATGGGCAGTTCTCTCAGTGGAGGGGGGTAAGCAGTGGGGTACCGCAGGGATCAGTACTTGGTCCACTGCTTTTTAACTTGTTCATTAATGATTTGGAGTTGGGAGTAAGCAGTGAAGTGGCTAAATTTGCGGATGATACGAAGTTGTTCAGGGTGGTGAAAACCAGTGAGGATTGTGAGGCACTCCAAAGGGATCTGTCAAAGTTGGGCGAGTGGGCGTCAACATGGCAAATGGGGTTCAATGTGGCCAAGTGCAAGGTGATGCACATTGGAGCCAAAAATCCTAACTATAAATACACGTTGATGGGGTCTGAACTGGCAGAGACTGATCAAGAGAGAGATCTTGGAGTTGTAGTAGATAACTCACTGAAAATGTCGAGACAGTGTGTGACTGCAATAAAGAAGGCCAATGCTATGCTGGGGATTATTAGGAAGGGTATTGTAAACAGATCAGCCAATATCATAATGCCGCTATATAAATCAATGGTGCGACCTCATTTGGAATACTGTGTGCAATTCTGGTCACCACACCTTAAAAAGGATATTATAGCTTTGGAAAAAGTGCAGAAAAGGGCAACTCGAATGATAAAGGGGTTGGAACACTTTCCCTATGAGGAAAGGATAAGGCGCTTAGGGCTCTTTAGCTTGGAGAAACGACAACTGAGGGGTGACATGATTGAGGTTTATAAGATTATGCATGGGAAAGAGCAGGTAGAGAAAGAGGTACTTTTCTCCCTTTCTCACAATACAAGAACTCGTGGGCACTCCATGAAACTGCTGAGCGGTCGGGTTAGAATGGATAAAAGGAAGTACTTCTTCACCCAAAGAGTGATTAACACTTGGAATTCACTGCCACAGGAAGTGGTGGCAGCTACAAGCATGGACGGCTTCAAAAGGGAATTAGATAAGCATATGGAGCAGAGGTCCATCAGTGGCCATTAGCCACAAGGTATAGATAGGGACTCTGGGGCAAGTGATGCTCCGTCATCTTGGTGCTTGGGGGGGTCAACAGTGGGAGGGCTTCTAATGTCCTGGCCCCACTGGTGGACCTCCTGATGGCACTGGTATTTCTGGCCACTGTGTGATACAGAGTGTTGGACTGGATGGGCCTTTGGCCTGATCCAACATTGGCATCTCTTATGTTCTTATGTTCTTAAGTGAGAGTTTAAGCTACAGGGAATGAAAGGAAGAATAAAAAAGAATGCCAAATGAATCTACTACCAGAGGCTGCTTCCAGTTCAGGTCTTGCCCAGAGCTTTTGGTTTAGGAGTCCAACAGCCCACAAAAACGGTTCTCCGTCTGAACACTCTAGTGGTCCAGTACTTGAGAAGGTGCTTGGCAACCTGTTCTAACTAGGCATGACATCATACATAACATCATAAGGAGATTCAGAGTGACTGAAGGTCTAGCAATTTCTGTGAATGGACTCAAAGGAAATCTAGGTAAACAGATCTTCTCAGGTCTGAACATATGCCTTCTATTTAGGAGGAATTTTGAATACCCAAAAGGCTATTATTTCTCTGTTCAGTTTTCCTAAACAGTGTTATTGAGAAATAAGATACATTTGCAAGAGCAAAGCTGCTAGCAACTGTGCAAGATTTCAGTTCCTTTGGAAGTTAATTAGCAATGCCAGCCTGAGCAGAGTTTTACCCTTCTAAGTCCATCGAAGGCTCTACCTCTGTTTGGATTGCACTGAAAGAAAGGCAAAATCAGTTTAGCTAAAGGCTAATTTCAGTTTAGTTGCAAATAGAACAGTGCATTTATCTAAATGTATTTATTTAAAATATTTATACCCTGCCTTATTTCCTCAAATTCAAGGCAGAGATACAAAAAGAAATAAACTGTGGTACTATTATTCGCCCTTATGCATTTGTGTTTTTAACACAATGAGATATCTAAAATAACTCACTTAGCATTATTGCCATGCCTTTAGATTCAGGATCAATATGTAAGCTTGGCTCCGCCACCTCCTCACTATAGAACTTTCCCACCAATTCATCCCACAACAACAAAAAATGCCCCCCCACCAGTGCTGCTTCTGTGGGACAGGGAACCCCCAGGAACAGCATGAGGGGGAGTTAGAGGTATGCAGTGGAAGACGGAATTGGCAAAAATTGTTGGAAATTTTCAATGGGATCAAACTGACAGAGAATGGATCAGTTCCAACTGCCTTCCATTACCTCTTTGTTGGGATCATGTGAGACCAACAATGCCTGGCTGTAGCTTTTAATGCATGTGAAAAATTTAGGCACTTTTAAAAAACAACATTGTAGCCCTGATGTGGATGGCTGAGGCAAGCCCAATGCCGTCAGATCTCGGAAGCTAAGCAAGGCTGACATTGGCAAGTAGTAGTGGTGGAGGAGGAGGAGACTGGATTTATACCCCGCCCTTCACTACCCAAGGGAGTCTCAGAGCGGCTTACAAACTCCTTTCCCCTCCCCTCCCCACAACAGACACCCTGTGAGGTAGGTGGGGCTCTGACAGAAGCTGCTCTCTTTTCAAGAACAGCTGTGCCAGAACTATGGCTTGCCCAAGGTCATCCAGCAGGTGCAAGTGGAGGAGTGGGGACTCAAACCCGGTTCTCCCAGATTAGAGTGCACTCAAACCACTACACCAAACTGGAAGAAGAGTTGGATGTATACCCCGCCCTTCACTCAGAGAGGCTTACAATCACATTCCCTTCCTCTCCCCACAACAGACACCCTGTGAGGTAGGTGGGGCTGGGAGAGCTCTGAGAGAACTGCTCTTGAGAACAGTGACTGACCCAAGTTCACCTGGCTGGCATCATGTGGAGGAATGGGGACTCAAACCCAGAGCTCCAGATTAGAGTCTGCAGCTCTTAACTACTAGACCAAACTGGCTCCAAGTAATTGGATGGGAGACCTTCAAGGAATACCAGGGCTCAGGATGCAGAAGCAGGCTATCATGCCATCTCTCTGAAAACATCCAAAACCCCACTAGGGGCCGCCAGAGGTCACCATGACTTCCAGGCATGCAGGCGCAGGTGCACACACACACACACACACAAATACCCACATTAAAAAAACAACATTGTACATTGGATGTATAATACTGTTTTTATTGCATTGCTTTCTAACTCTGTAATCCAATGGAAAAGGTGGACTATAAATGAAGTAGATGAATAAAATGGACTGCTTCCTTCAAAATAGTCTCAGTATCTGCAAGCTGCATGTTTACTCTAGAGTAAGTAGGTTAATGTCTACTTGCCTTCCTTTGCAAGGCGATTCCCACAAACGTTTGGAAATTAAATACATGAAATTCCATGAAAAATAGAGACCAGAATGTATTTTTATTTTATTTTGTTAATCTAGCTACCATAACTTGGGGCAAAATTTATTTATTTATTTGGTGCCATTCTAGGCTTTGTGATTTCAAGGGACAATCCCCTTTTATCTCATTGTGTAAAAAAACAATTTCAAATGTGGTTGTAATGTATTTGAAAGCTCTGGAATCAGAGAGAAAATGGAAGACCATTTTTGAAAGAGCCTTTTGATCTTGCAGGGAGGGTGGGATACAAGTTCAATAAAATTAAAAAAAAAAAATATTGAGAACAGAGTGGAGTGGCATCATTATGATGTATTATTTAGGGAACTTTGGAGATGGTTAGAGAAGAGATTTGGCTACCTAAATTAAAGGTAAAGGTTTCCCTTGCTTGAAAGCCAGTCAAATCCAACTCTAGGGGGTGGTGCTCATCTCTGTTTCCAAGCTGAAGAGCCAGCACTATCATAAGAACATAAACATAAGAACATAAGAGACGCCAATGTTGGATCAGGCCAAAGGCCCATCCGGTCCAACACTCTGTGTCACACAGTGGCCAGAAATACCAGTGCCATCAGGAGGTCCACCAGTGGGGCCAGGACATTAGAAGCCCTCCCACTGTTGACCCCCCCCCAGCACCAAGAAGACAGAGCATCACTTGCCCCAGAGCCCCTATCTATACCTTGTGGCTAATAGCCGAAGACTATTTCCGTGGTCATATGGCCGGCATGACTAAACGCCAAGGCACGTGGAACGCTGTTACCTTCCCACCCAAGTGGTACATATTTATGTACTTGCAATTTCTTGCTTTCGAACTGCAGGAGCTGCAGGTTGGCAGGAGCTGGGGCCAGAGACGGGAGCTCACTCCGTCAGGCAGCACTCGCATCTCGAACTGCTGACCTACCGACCTTCCACTCTGCAACTCAGTGTCTTAACCTCTGAGCCACTGCAGCTCCCATCTAAATTAGGGACAGGCAATAAAAAACTGAATACAGCTGCCCCCCCAGCATAAATGGGAATCTGAAGCCACACTTGTGCTGGTGGGCAGTACAGTACAGACCCTGTAAGGGGGACCGTGGGTTGTGCTGTGAGATTAGAAGCAGCAGAGTCAGTGTGCAAACACTCAAAGAACAGACCGAGAACAGATACTTAGGAGACGGAAAGACGGGAGAAACACAGTGAGTCCTTGGGGGGTGGTGGTGGTGAGAGTTTCAAGATTTACACAGGTAAAGATTAAATGGCCTAAAGATCAATTTAACATCCACCATCACAATAGAAAAGAGTGTTAATTTATTTTCAATAGTTAATATTTTTTTTTAAATAACCTTATTTGAATAAATACATCTATGGCCAATAAGCTCCCCCCATATGCAGTGTTAAAGTCATTAAACAGTATCTGCACGAAATAAATACATTTCCCTTTCCCCCCATCGTTCGGCGCCCAGATAACCAAGAAAAAAACAGACGTGTTGAGAGATTCACCGTGCAAAAGGATTTACAAGGCATGCGCAGAAAGGAGGCTAGCCAGGCCCGCGGCGCTTTCCTAAGCGGTTGCTGCGGCAACGGAGGCAAGCAGGCATGCGCAGAAGGACGCGAGCCTAGCACCGCCTCATCGCGTAGCCACGGCAACAGCTGCATCAGACAGCGAGGCCTGTAGTAGTGGAGCGGAGCGTGAAGATGAGCTCCGCTGAGGCCGAAGCCGGGGCTGAAGCCGAGCCCGAGTCAGAGGGGGCCGCTGGGGGTGGCGTAGTTGGCGGCAGCGGCGGCACCACGCGGATCAGGGTGCCCAACTTGAACTCTGATGACCCGCAGGAACGGATCGCCGCCCGCCGACTCCGTATCGCTGCCCGGCTAGAGGCCAAGCGCAGGTCCGTCTGTCCGTTGGAAAAGCGCACCGCCGGCAGGATTTCCGTTGCCTGAAAGACCCCGCCCCACACGCTTTGTCAGCCCCATCTCGCACCTTGAGAAGCTGCCCTTGGAGTATATCTCCCTTCCCGGGCCTTGCCTCCCCGGGCTTGTGTTCCCCAAAAAATCAAAGGGGGGGGGGGGGGGGGCTGGTGTTCTTTTAGTATTACACCTGATTTCCAGACTACAGAGGAGATAGCCCAACTTTCCACTTCAGAGGGCAGACTATGGCAGGGGTGTCGAACTCCTTTGTTTCGAGGGCTGGAGTTGACATAAATGTCACTTTGTCTGGCCATGTGTGTCATAAAACCTAATGCCAGGTACCACAGCTGTAAACTGTATAAAGGGTAGCAGCTGGTAAACTCCAAGTTGGTGTATCCAAACTGCAAGGCCCCATGGGCTGGGAGTGGGGTGCAAAGGAAAACTCACATGGGTGGACTGGAGAGCCAGGGGTGCAGCACTGGACAGATATCTGCTCCCACACTGCCTGACTGCTGCAGATGAGGTTGTTCTGCCATGCTGAAGCCACAATTAGAGTGGCTCTGCCCACCCCCCCCCCCCCAGCAGTCTCCTGTTCCCTCCCTTGCACTAGTTGCTTGTGGGCCGCATAAGAGCCTTGGATGGGCCAGTTCCGCCCCCCGGGCCTTATGTTTGATTCCCCTACTCAATGGCATCACCTTTCCTTCAGCTCCCTGGCCTCCCCAAATGCCACCCTTCCCAGGCACCACCCCCATTCTCCAGGAGTTTCCTAAGCTGGAGTTGGTAACCCTTCCCCTTCTACACCGCTTACTGGCCACTGACAGACAGACCATATCCATTCTCCGGCAGGACTGTAGCCAGGATTCTTGGAGCATTGTTTAAAAAAACAAAAACAGAGCAGGCTTTTCATCTGTGATGGGACAGTTTCCATTGAAAGAATAGGAGGCTGTTTTTCAGAACAAGAAAAAAAAACCCCTGCTAAAAGATATGACGCTGGAAGATGAGCCCCTCAGGTCGGAAGGTGTCCAATATGCTACTGGGGAAGAGCAGAGGGCAAGTACAAGTAACCCCAGAAAGAGTGAAGCGGCTGGGCCAAAGCTGAAAGGACGCTCAGTTGTGGATGTGTCTGATGGTGAAAGGAAAGTCTGATGCTGCAAAGAACAATGCTGCATAGGAACCTGGACAACGAACATGAAATTGAGCCAACTTCAGAGGACGGCGGAAGACAGGAGGGCCTGGTGTGATCTGGTCCATTGGGTTGCAAAGAGTCGGACTTGACTGTGCGACTGAACAACAACAACAACAATACTTCCCCATTTAGTTGCTGTGCCAGGGAGCACAGCACAGTATTTAAGGGGTCAAGGAACTGCAGGAATGTCCAGTTTCTTCAGCCTGGGGCTGGATACTCCCAGTCAAGCAGGACTGAAGTCCCCTAAGCCGTGATGTCATTGTCTACCTTCTCCATACAAATTGGCTGTGCATGGCTCTGACTGGAAAAGTTACCTTGGTTTCATACTAGCTGCTTAATTGCCAGGATTCACCACCACCCCCTTTTACAGACAGTCTATATGATGGCATGGTCAAGCTGTGGCATGTCATTATTTTTTTGTTGTGATGGATGCATGCTGACCAAATGACTTGTCAGTTTAATGTGGCTGGCTGATGCCTGATGACCTTTGGATTTGACAGTCCTTGGCATGTGAAACACAAGTTGACTTTTTAGTTGTTTTCATTCATTGCCTCATTCGATCAGTCGCTGAAAAAACTGCAGGAGGCCTACTTCTTTTGAGGTCATATCTCTGTCCATGTCTGCTTTCTGAGGCAATATCTGTTGTATTGACTCTGGGAATCCGTAGACATATGGAGCAGAGGTCCATCAGTGGCTGTTAGCCACAAGGTATAGATAGGAACTCTCAGGCTGGGGCAAGTGATGCTCTGTATTCTTGGTGCTTGGGGGGCAACAGTGGGAGGGCTTCTAGTGTCCTGGCCCCACTGCTGGACCTCCTGATGACACCTGGTATTTTTGGCCACTGTGTGACAGTGTTGGACTGGGTGGGCCATTGGCCTGATCCAACATTGGCTTCTCATGTTCTTATGTTAGTATCTTACAAGGTGGGTGTATTGAGTTTTTGCATGTTTCTCTTCCCCAGGGAGGCCCTCGGAGAAGATTCAGAATTAAAGAAGCTTGTGGAGGAAGAAAAGAGCAGGAGCTACAAACAAATAGAGGAGAGCAGACAGGTTAGGACTAAGCAGTAGATCTATCTTTGAGCTCATTCAGGTTTGATTTGGAACATACTTTACAGACTGAGTTCCGGCTCAAAGTTACCTAGGCCAGCTGTGTTACTCAGCAATCACAGTCACCACCAGTGATCCACATTCAGAACTTCCATGACACTTTGCCTTGCATGAAAATCATTCAAAATCTGAATGATTGAAGTAGTTGACTTGATTACCTCTACCAACTCAGTAGTTGAATGATTTCAGTTCACTGAGTTCTCTGATTCAGTCGTTGAATGATACCACCCAGGGATGAGACATTGGGTTGGGTCCTGTTCAGATTCCATGCATGGAAGCATGACCTCCCCATGCCACATCTCCACAGTGGTCTGAGATACTGTTTCTGGGGGATAATCCCCCCCCCCCAAGCAGCATAAGGGGGGACTTGAAGGGCTACCACAGCAGGGGGAGAATGGACTAAAATCACCTTTTCCTTTGCATCTGTGGATCTTTCTCATGGGATCCAACCCACTGTGTGATGTTCTTGCGCATGTGGCTTGTCATTTAATTTAACCCACAGCGGTAGCTGTATAATCCTAGTTGGCGTATGTTTAAAATCCTTTTCTTCCTTCCTCAGTATTCCATATTTCAATGTGTGAAATTGGACTGAACATTGCTTGAGCCAGATTTAGAATGAGAAGGTAGCTTACAGGAAAGGGGTGTCCCTCAAAACAGGTGTCAGTGTCAGTTCAGCACTTTCCTTCACTTCCAAAACTGTACTGTTGAGTGGCATGTTTGGCTGTAACCCACTCCCATGCCAGTAGTAATTCCTTTGCTCTTCAGCAAGTTTAATAACATAAGAGAAGCCATGTTGGATCAGGCCAGTGGGCAGGCGCCATCAGGAGGTCCACCAGCAGGGCCAGAACTCCAGAAGCCCTCCCACTGTGGCCCTTCAAGCACCAAGAATACAGAGCATCAGTGCCCCAGACTGAGAGTTCCTATCTATACCTTGTGGCTAATAGCCACTGGGTGGACCTTTGCTGCATAAATGTATCCAATCCCCTCTTGAAGCTGTCTGTGCTTGTAGCTGCCACCACTTCCTGTGGCAGTGAATTCCATGTGTTCATTACTCTTTGGGTGAAGAAGTACTTCTTTATCTGTTCTAAGCCTACTGCTAATCAATTTGATTGAGTGCTCATGAGTTCTTGTATTGTGAGAAAGGGAGAAAAGTACTTCTTTCTCTACCTTCTCTATCCCATGGATAATTTTGTAAACCACTATCATGTCACCCATAAATCATGATTTCTTCAAGCTAAAAAGCCCTAACTGCTTTAACTTTTCTTCATTTTCTACATATTTTCCAATGCTATAATATCTTTTTTGAGGTACAGTGACCAGAACTGTACACAGTATTCCAAATGAGGCCACACCATAGATTTATATAGAGGCTTTATGATACTGGCTGATTTGTTTTCAATCCCCTTCCCTAATAATTCCCATCATAGCATTTGCCTTTTTTATTGCAGTCGCACACTGAGTCAACATCTTCAGTGAGTTATCTACCGTGACTTCAAGAGCTCTTTCCTGTTTAGTAACCGCCAGTTTAGACCCCATCAGCATATATTTATAGTTAGGATTTTTGTCTCTAGTGTGCATTACTTTGCACTTGCCCACGTTGAACCTCATTTGTCACATTGATGCCCACTCGCCCATCCTTGACAGATCCTTCTGGAGTGCCTCACATTCCTCCCTGATTCTCACCGCCCTGAACAACTTAGTGTCATCTACAAACTTAACCTTTCACTGCTTACTCTCAATTCTAAATCATGAATGAATAACTTAAAAAACACCGGACCTAGTACCAAGCCCTGCGGTATTCCACTGCTTACCACCTTCCACTGTGAAAACTGCCCATTTATACTCACTCTCTTTTTCCTGTAAATTAACCAGTTTTTAAGAGGACTTGTCCTCTTAGCCTATGAGTGCTGAGTTTACTTAGGAGCCTTTGATGAGGAACCTTATCAAAAGTTTTCTGGAAATCTAGGTAAACAACATCTACTGGGTCACCCTCGTCAACTTCCTGACACTCCTATGAGATCATTGTTACAGGCATTCAGATGGGCAGTTTAAAACCATACTAATTCAGTGGGCATTTCTCTGATGAGTTTATTTCTTTTGAGGTGTGCGTGTGTTTATCCTTCTCCCCTGCATATGTACATATGTGTGTATGTGTATTTCTTGTTTCTGTATTTGAATTGAATTGATAAGTGTTAGCTAAATACATTTTTATAATACATTGTTAACTACCTGGGGCTCTGAGGAAGAAAGATGGACTATAAATGTTTAAAATAAAATTAAAAATTGCACATTCATGCCCATACAACATTTAATTTCGGGATCACAGACCCTGCTTAGATTTGGACTCTTGGCATATTCACAATTTAACAGGGCTGAAAGAACCAGCCAGCTCTAACCAAGAGGAACTCTGACTAGCAGCCATAACTTTGAAAGTAAGAACACTTTTAAACTGTTGGTCAGTCCAGCAAAAGTGATCTTCTGTATTTAGGAAGATGGCTTCCTAACATGTTTCTGGCATCCTCCATGTGTGTACAGAGACTGGCCAAACTGCTGCTCGATGGCACACAACTGGTGACAAACATCCAGGTGGCAGCAGATGCTCGGGAGGCACAGAGGAGGTCAGAGGAAGAGGAGCTGACTCGGCAGAGGTAAGCAGTAAGCCTGGATGTCCAGAATTATGTGTCTTCTTTGACAAGTCCGTGGGATATTGCTTTTAAAGCAAAGAGAAGGAAAAGGACATCAGTTTGTTGTTTTAGTATGCTGCCTTGAAGGGATGGATCCCAGCTCTCAGCATGCGAACCTGCTCTGTCCATGTAATCCCATGCTATCTACTCTTAACCAGCAGCAGTTCTCCAGAATTTTAAAATTCAAGACTCTTTCCTGGTCCCGCTACCTGAGATCCCTTTAACCGGAGATGGCAGCGGTCGAACATGGGAGAGTCAGCCTGAAAGGCGTGTGCCTGTCAGCAGGCTAGTCCCCTCTTTGGTAATCAAGGTGTGACAGAGCACTGTGCATGGTCATGTGCAGTTTCCTTACATTATATTTCTGTATTGGTTGCATTTTCTGAAGATCAGTTCTCATTCTGATGAGGCTCCCAACCTGTGGATTGCACTGCCTCATAATTTGGGGGATCGTACCTTCATTGTGGTGGCTGGTTTAGTGCTGTTAATGCTAGAACAAACGTTAAGGAAAAGGTATTGCAGGAAGCCGGTACCAACCAGCGTGGCATAGCCTGATCTCGCTGAGCTGCAGTCTGCCGTTTGCACTGGTTGTATGTCTGGCATACTAATACCCTTGGTAAAGTGACTGAAATAAAAGGCTGAGGTATTTGCCGATCATTGGCTTGTCATGCTCCCCAGCAGTTCACAGTGGCTTCATGCTATTCTGAGTGAGAGGGCTGTTTTAAACTCACTGTATACTGATGGCTGCTTACAGGCTTGAGAAGCTGGAAAACGAAGCCAAAGCCAACCAGGACAAGTTTGATGAGATCACCTCCAAGTGGGGCAGTGCCAAGGAGAAGATCATCCCCCAAGACTTGTGGGAGGTGCTTAACTTGCAGCAGCAGCATTGTGCACTCCTGATTGAGGAGAAAAACAAGCTCATCAGCGAGTTGCAGCAGGTGAGGAGGAGGGGCCAGGGCAGGTCATTGTACTACTGAAGACAGTGGCCCAGTGGCAGGAAAGGGGAACTTGTTGGAGCTTCCATACCAAGAAATGTGTTTTGCTTAGAGAAAAGAAGCTTAAGGGGTGGTGGTGCTGTAATAGCTTCCGAATCTCTCAAATGAGCTGCCAGAGAATAGAGTTTAGATCAGCAAATCTCTGTGTAATTTTGCAGCATCATAGACGGTGCTGTTCTATTCAGTATGTCCACTTGGATTTGATTCATGCTTGACTTCTGCAGAGGATTGTCAACACACAACGATTTAACCCCAACTGTTGAGTGACTGATACATGTGTTTATTTTTAACATTTTTGTGCCACCTTTCCACCCAGTTCAGGGTCTCCAAGGTGAGGATCGTACAAAAAAAAGAGAGATTTTAAAATGAACGTAAACAAAAACAGTTATCTAATACTCGACCTATAACTTCTCAGGTTGACAACAAAAACTGTAAAAACATAGTAAAAAAAGCACAGTAAAAAGGAACAGTAAAGAATTCAAATTCAGAACCGAGCAATCAGCTCCTATCAGTTTTGAAAGAACTTAGAAAACCAAAGCTGTTCTTCAGTAATGATGGTAATGGGGCCATCTTAAACTTCATAGGACAGAGGTTCCTGAGAGTGGTCACAACCAGAAAGGCCCTGCTTCGTGCTCCCCAGGAGAGCCCCATGTGACATAGCAATAAACTTAGTCTTCCTGTGACTCAGACGATCCCTCTTGTAGCCCTGAGATGCATCCCAGTGAGGCTTGTGGAACTTCACCTGTTTGCCAGCTGCAGCACAGCCCTGTGTAGCAAAGTGGCTGTCTACTTAGCGGCTGCAAAGTGGGTAGCTGGCATGTTAAATAGCATTCCAGGAAAGTGGAAATGGGGAAAGAAAAAATCCTGGTCTCAGAATTGCCATGTTGCTAAGGAGCAGGATCAGAAGTATGGCACCTCATCCCGTTGGAAACAACTTGCACTTGCTGCAGCATACATAACACTGGCTGCAGAATGAGTGGTAAGAGGTGGCCAGGATACCTTCCTTCACCAGTGGATTGAAACTGGGGTAATTGGAGTGGAAGTTATGTATACTGCTCTGACTGTTTGAAGGAAGGGTAGGCGAAAAATGTAATGAATAATCTTAAGAGTCAGTGTGGTTAGAACGCCAGGACAGGACTGGGAAGAACTAGGTTGAAATCCCCACTCTGCCGTGGAATCTCATTCAGTGACTTTGGGCCAGTCATTCTCTCAGCTTCACCTACTTCATAGAGTTGTTTTCAGTATAAAATGTGGAAGGGGGAACCATGTAGGCCATTTAGAGCTTCTTGTAAGAAGGGTGGGATCAAAATGCACTAGATAGGTATTCTAAACAGAAAAGGGCAGTAGAATCCGCAGGACCACCTTGATGATCTGTTTAGGCAAAGATGCTCCCTTAGTTATGCAGGCCGTTGAAAGACATTCAGTTTCACACAGTGAATATGTGGGTTTTGTGAGATGGGGGCTATTTACACAACCAAGCCAAACCCCGAAAACATGGGTTTGCTCCAGCACTGGATTTACAAGGACTTGGTAATTAAGGGCAAAATTCAGATGGTTGACAAGAAGCTGACAAGGGTGCAGTTGTGTTCAAGAGTAATGTGTGAACCGATGCTGGCTTTTGCCTTTCAGGAATTGAAGAGCAAAGATGACCAGTATGTGAAGGACCTCAAGAAGCAGTCAGATGATGTTAATCTTCTGCTGGAGCGAATGGAGGAGCAAATAAGGAATGTTATGAAAAACTACCGTCGAGAACTCTTGCAAATTGAGGTACTGGAGTCCCACCCCCAGCCCATTCTGAGCTGCTGTTTACGGTGTCAAATGGAGAAAACAACAGAAGCGCCACAAAAGACAAATCCTGCACTTTGCCTCTTTTGATTTCTATTTACTTATTTAGTTATTCTGCCTTCAGCATCCAATATTGACAAGCAGGTTAAAAATACCATGAGGTCGAGAACACACACACCAACAAAACAACAACAACACAAAAAAACCCAGAAAAAAGCATGATGCAATGTACAAATAAACCAAATCAGTTTTGTGAACAAAACATAACACCCATATTTCAATATGTAAGCAAATAAAAAACAAGAAATAAATGTCACATAACAGTAAGATAACACACAACAGCAAGTAAAATAAAATACAGTGCCAAACACGTTTTGGCACAAAGCCTGCAGCAGTAGTTTATAACCATAATTAACACAGTCATAGCCAGTGTTCCCTCTAGGCTGAGTTAGTGTGAGCCAGCTCACAGTTTTTTAGCCTCCAGCTCACACATTTTTTTCTTGGCTTAGGAAGGATGGCTCCAGAGCAAACTAATTTATGTAGTAGCCAAATCGCTCACTCACATCTTTAATGCCAGTAGCTCACAAAGTAGAATGTTTGCTCACAAGACTCCACAGTTTAGAGGGAACATTGGTCATAGCTAACTCATCATGAAAAACATTACCAATCACAAGAACCAGTAAGATAACACAGTCCAATTAACAGATTCAATAACCGCGTCAGTGCCTTGCCAAGCTAATACCAAATAATTCAAGATGCATCGTACCTACCTCAACGTAAATACTTTCCCTCCATCCAAAACTATACAGCGTACACCTGGAAGAAGCCATTAAGCAAATCCTCCATGGCTTATTAACGAACTATTAAAGCAAACCCTACAGCAAAAACAAACAATTTAAACACACTTTCAAACTGCTGACAGCTAATCAGTTTCCTCCTTTAAGCTTTGAGGCACCAAAGTTTAAAATCCAAAATGGTTCTTTTTCTTGTAGAATCTGATCCAGCTGGAGTGTAGGAGCAGACACCCTTCCTATCATACAGAATCTTCATTGTTTATCGGATCGTTTCAGGGTCATGAACTTTAGTGCCTGAAAGCATTGAGTTTGGCATCATGTTTTTTTTTACTTGGTGTTGTGTGTTATCTTATTGTATGTGCACATTTATTTCCTGTCTGTGATTTGTTTACATGTTAAAATACTGTTGTTAAAATTTTGTGCACATCATTGAATTAGTTGGGTTGGGCATTTTCCCTTTCTTTGTGGTAAAAATACAGTGAGATCAAGACTAGGGGGGAAAAATTGAACAAACTATTTCAGCCGCAAAAGAAAAGTAGCACTGTGTCTTGCCCAAATAAAAAAGATTGAAGTCAGCACCAAAAGGAGAAAAGAGGAGAGGAGACACCCAGTCAGCCCCCCCCCCCCCCAGTGCCAGACCTTGGGTGCTCCTTCTGTGAAGGCTAGCTCTGTGGCACAGAGCATGGGAGGCTCCAGTCACTGTTGTCAGATGGCCTTCTAGAAGAATTATGTCCATTGCCGGGGTCATTTCTATACTCCAGGGATAGACTGGGGCTTTGGTGGGCTACTCTTGGCACATTTGACGTCTAACATCTCTTTTGCCAAAATAGGACAGATTTCCATTCAAGGCAGCAAGCTCGGGAACAGTCACAGTTTAGAAAACCGTTGCTCTTTGTGAGATGGAGAAGGCAGAGCCAGGGGCATGACAGAAAGGGAGGTGGGATGCCTGCCCCTTGTGGTTTAATGTCTGAAATTAGAAGTTGGGGCCAGGGTTAAATTTTGTATCAGTGTTAAGGTCTGATATCAACTTTAGTCTGTGTGGCTTTTTACAGAGCAACAGTCCCATAAAAACAAAGAGAAAGACAGGCCCCTACCATAAATGGTAGATAAATAAATGGTTATTCCATGTATTGGACTCCCCTGCTTCTTTCCACCTTCAAGCGGCCTATCGGGTGAACACCCATAGTCTGGTCTATGGCCTAGCGGCTTTAATTTTTTTAACTATCATATCAAACTGCTGTGCCATCTGTCTGTCAGGGTCGTTAGGTCACACCACACAAGGCTTCATAAGAAGATAAATGTTTATTGATGGATCCAGTACTAATGAATCACGTATACAGCTTGTGTCAGGAATAGCCTTTGGTATAGGGGCCTCTGACTTATAGTGAAATCAAACATCTCCCCCCCCCCATGAGCAGAAGCCAATGGTTATACTTTGTGCGCACGGCAAAGCAAGCAAGTGGCAAAGCTAGCAAAAAGCCGTTGGGTTCCCAGCCAAGTAAATGCAGCTGGAGACTCCCAAGGTCAACCCTGAGATAGCACTCAGAGGCTGGACAGGGTAGAGCTGAGGAGGGCCCCCCCCCCCACATTCCAGATCCATGACAGGGCTACCTGACACTGTCTTATTTATAGCTCTGTTTTAATCTGTTTTAACTATTGTGGAAGATTTAGTATGAAATGTTTTAATTCTTATTGTGAAATGTTTCAACTCCTGTTGTCATCTGCTCTGAGCCAGCTTGTGGGGAGGGCGGAATACAAGCCTAAATAAATAAATAAATGATATAAAATCCCTGCTGCATGGAGTCAGGCCATTGCAAGAGAAATGTATTTTGCATATACTCAGATGTACTGGGGGCCATGGTTCAGTGGTAAAACATCTGCTTGGCATGCAGAAGGTTCCAGGTTCAGCCCCTGGCATCTCCAGTGAAAAGGACCAGATTGTAGGTGATGGGAAATCCCTCAGCCTGAGACTCTGGAGAGCCAGTGCCAGTCACAGTAAACAAGGCTGCCCTTGATAGATAAGCAGTCTGCACCCCACACAAGGTTCAGGTGTTTAATTGTGCTGTAGAGCTAAGCGGTGGCACTGTAAAAGGATCCTGCAGCCAGGCTCTACTGAGCCTCAGCATGAACTATGATGCACTGACTTCCTTCCCCACCCTCATTTGCAGAAGGCCTTTGAACTGGAGCTTCGTGTTTGCGTCGTGAACGACTGACATGCAACAGGAAGAAATGGGACCAAGCTATGCAAGCCCTCAACCAGCAAGAGGTAAGGGGAGGGTCTGGAAGGAGCTATCTAAAAGTTTAATTGCATCCCCGGTTAGCACTGAAGGACAAGGCTTTTCGCAGAGGAGACAGAATTATACGCAGTGTTTAGGTTAACTGGAACAGTTTTATATAATTTGCATGTGCTTTCTGTTTGCTTTTTTCAGATTTCTTTTTTTTAGCCAGCTAGTGGGAGGGGTGGGCAGTCTGGGACTGCTGCATGTGACCTGGATCAGATTCCTGCCCTAATTTGGTGAGGACAAAGCAACTGGGCTTGGGCGAGCTCTGCATCCGATCAGGGCCCTGACTGTTGTGCGCCTCCTGCTTTTTGGCCTAGTTGGAGTTCATGACTGCCCGCCTGAAGAAAGTGGAAGAGTATGAGTGGGAGCTGAACCGGCTGCGGGTGCAAGATGCCGAGGAATACAACGTTATCAAGATCAAGCTGGAGCATGACGTGCAGGTATGGCACGAGAATGGCCCCTCGGGATCCATGCACTGGTCCTCTGAGTGCTGTGGGAGCACTGGCCCAAGGGTGCCGTGAAGGTGGTTGTGCCGCTTCTGCAGGAAGTCCTCCACAGAGACTCCATAATTCATTTGATAGGATGGCTCACTAGCAGTTGTCAGGAAGCATTAACATTGCAGTGGTCTAGTAGTCAGTTTCTTGGTGGTCCAGAGGATTTGCCAA